AAAACCCCAGGGAAGGTACTGACCCAGAGCTGAGACTTAAAATACTGCCCATGGAACAGTTACTTTAAAAAAGCGCCCCTGAGAAGACACCAAGTATCAAGGGCTTCACAGTTTACACCGTGTGGGACCGCTAAATATTTCAGGAAACAGCATAAGGGGGGAAGCAAGAATGTCTGTGTGAGGAACAATCCCTATGACATCTGTTTACATGGATGTAGGGGACAAAGATGCCCATAAGAAATTGCAAAGGACTCCCTTTATTTTGACTTTCAGAAGCCCTTGACAATCTATCTGGCCAAATGTAGTCGTCCAGGACTCGGGAGACTGTTGTTTTGTTTTGTTTTTTGTTTTGTTTTGTTTTTAATTATTGTTCAAGTACAGTTTTCTTTCCTTTACCCCCATTCCAGCCCACCCACCCATCCCTCCCCACCTCCCTCCCATTTCCACCCCCTGCGTAGTTTTTGTCCATGTGTCCTTTACATTTGTTCTTGTAAATCCTTCCCATTCTCCCCTGAAATTCTCTCCCTTCTCCCCTCTGGTCACCTCTATTTCAGTGTCTTTGACTATATTTTGCTTGTTTGTTTTGTTGATTAGGTTCCTGTTAAAGGTGAGATCATATGGTACTTGTCTTTCATTGCCTGGCTTGTTTCACTTAGCATAATGCTCTCCAGCTCCATCCAAGCTGTTGCAAAGGGTAGGAGCTCCTTGTTTCTTTCTGCTGCATAGAATTCCATTGTGTAAATGTACCATAGTTTTTTGATCCATTCATTTACTGATGGGCACCTAGGTTGCTTCCAGCACTTAGCTATTGTAAATTGTGCTACTATGAACATTGGGGTGCATAGGTTCTTTTGGATTGGTGTTTCAGGGTTCTTAGGATATAATTCCAGTAGTGGAATTGCTGGGTCAAAAGGCAGACCCATTTTTAGTTTTCTGAGGAAGTCCCATACTGTTTTCCATAGTGGCTGTACCAGTGACTATGCAGGTACATAGCAGGAGACTGTGTTACCATGTGACAGGCAGCGGCTCCCAGGACAGGAGCACCATGCCAGAGAAGAGGCGCATAGCCTGGGTCCAGGCTCAGAGGATAAATGGTTGGAAGAGGGAGCCACAGTAAAACCTGGACTTCAGAGGTGATGTTTAGCTCCTCTGAGTAGAGAAATTATCAAACTCATGAGGGAAAAAAATCACCAAAAGATGTAAGTTTGCATGACATAGCAAGACAATGGTAAATAAGTCTTTTTTTAAAGATATTATTTATTTATTTTTAGGGAGAGGGGAAGGGAAGGAGAAGGAGAGGGAGAAAAACATCAATGTGTGGTTGCCTCTCATGCACCCCTTACTGGGGACCTGGCGCACAACCCAGGCATATGGTATGACTGGGAATCGAACAGGCGACCCATTGTTTTACAGCCTGCACTCGGTTCACTGAGCTACACCAGCTAGGGCGTAAAATGGTAAATAACTAGTAATTCAAAGGCTTAAAACAAATCTAAACTTGAAATACATAATAACACAAATATATGCATACTAATGAGTTTCAAGTTGTCTGTCATAAATCAAGGGAAAGGATGATGACTCAGGAAAAGGAGTCATTATGGCAACTGTGCCTGTCAGCTGCTATGCAAATGGCCCAGAGGCTGCCAGGAGGCTGCACAAGCTGAGCTCTGACATCTGCTGAAGGAACTCAAGAGAGCCTGGAGCCTCGGCTAGGAACAAAGGATAGACATTCATTCTAGGGTCTTGGAGTGTTCACACAGGGAGCACAGCTGGGCAAAGCCCAGAAGTCTGCAGAGAAGACAGGAAACTGGAGTTCTTAGGGCACAAAGTGCATTCTTGAGGATCAGCAGCCCTGCACTCTCAGCCTGAGAACAGTCCAGGACGGCTGTCAGTCAGAGGCCAGGCAGCCAGGATGAGGGACGCTGGGGGGTCCGGGATAGGCGCCGGGGGTGTGGCCAGGACCAGTGGTCGGGCGTGGCCAGACTGTCAGCTCTCAAATCTCCCACCTCATCATCTCTCTGTACAAGCGCTTCCACTGACTACTGAAACAGCCGATGTAAAAACCGTCACCGTGACAGGTAATTTTAATTACTCTGCGCTGTGGAAATCTAACTGCAGGTCTGCGGCCCCAGACGGGCAAGGCTTCCAGCCACATGCCAGTGTCCCGGACCCCAGCCAGCCCCTCCTCTCTGGGGGCTCCATCCAGCCTCAGACCATTAGCAAAGCAGACCTGCCACAACAGTTAACAGCAGCAGCGATGAATGGCAGGGCTAAGGAGAAAGTATTTTTAGATGTGCTGTCTTAGATGATCCCTGTTACTGCTCATATCCACACGGCCTCAAGAGAAATGTCAGCAAAGGGAAACCCGAGGACACTGAGGCCCGGGGCAGTGCAGCTAATTTCTAGGTGGGGCAGTGGAGATGTGAGTGGGGTGGTGTGTCTTGCGTGAGAAGATTCTGGGGAGAGGTCTAGGTAAGGGACACCGCGCAGACTGGGCAGGGCCACAGACCACCAAGAGCTTGGCCGTTAAACCTGGCTGCACCTCTAGCTCATGACATTTAATTCCTTTAGGCCTCAATTTCCTCGTCGGTAAGATGACTGTATGAGTCCGCCCACCTCATCCGGTTGTTCTAGGATTAAGAGAATTAACTGTGTCCAGCCCTTATGAGCATCTGCACGCCACTCTCTCAGGCACAGTTCTCACTGTTGATGCCATAAATCACCTGGAAGGATGGGAGTATCTGCCTCCTGCCCCTGGGGCAGGCGGGGGCTCCAGCACAACTGGTGTCACTCCCTCTGCCTCAGCAGCTTCTCTGACTTGGCGGGAGCTGGGATTGGAATGGACCAAACCACTGAAGATTTGAAAGTGTCTGCTCCCCCTCATCCTGGCAGAGGAAAGACATTTGTACAATACGTTCCTTGAGTTTGTGACAATTCCTCCTAAAAACTCTAAACCAAGGAGAAACCCTCCTGAGTCTCCTTTTGGTTTACTTGGCCCAGCTGGCTCACTTCACGTGGCCTTGCTGGTGAGAAACATGGATACACGTTCAGTGTGCAGTTCCTGCCGCCTTCCCCTGGCCTGTCTTCTCATCTCCATTTCTGTGCAGCATGGGCACGAGGGCAAAAGACCTGTCCCCATGCCCCCGCCCCCTGCAGCTCTAAGGAGGAAGGGGTAGAGAGGGGTGAGCAAGGCCGAGGGACCAGAGCTGCGGGGGCCCTCGGCAGTCCCACCCTGCCTGGCCCTCCAGGACCGCGGGCTCCTCTCCTGCTCACCCTGCCGCCACACCTCCTGGCAAGGAACAGGCTCGCAACAAAAAGAGGTTTGTTACGTGTTCACCAGACCAAAGAGTGGCCAAAAAGGGTGAGGGCTCTGAAACACAAGGGAAACGATTCTGCCTCTCTTAGACCCACCCAGAAACCCATCCTACCCATCTCCCTGCACACCACAAACATCTGTTAGAAGACACCCCCTCAGATGACAAGAAAAACACAGGTGACACTGATAAACATAAGTCCTCAGAATTCTCTTCTCCAAAAGGAGCTCCAGCAAGCAAAACCCAAACTCTCTGCATTCCTTCATCCAGCCGTGACCCTGACCCAGCTTTACTGCTGCTGCCCTGTGCGGGAAAAGGCTAGGACACATTCCCCTCCCACAGTGATTACACACTGTGACGCAAAGTCGCCAAGTAGAAGTAATAGTCGAGCTCACCATTGAAATTAATAAAACCATATGAGGAAGTTGAGAGAGATCATTAATAACGATGGGAAAAAATCAAACCTCCCCCTGCAGTGTGCATGGCCTTGAATTCCTCAGCACCCCAGGTTCCCCCACACTCTGCAGAGGTTTCCAAGGAGCACAGCCGACCTGCAGGTTATCGGTGTTTTGCACACGCTGCCTGCAAGTGAGGCGGCTGGCAAGTCTGGAGCGTACTGCTCACTCAGAAGGGCGAGTCGGAACAGACGCACATGGCCTTTCATGAACATGTGGGGGACAGGCTGTTCCTGCTGGGACCTGCGAGGCTGTCCCACTACCGGCCCCTGCACCCTGAGGGTCTGCCTCAGCGCCCGGCACAGATGGGTCCCTGCTTCAGGCTACATCAACATGGATTGGCTGCCACCAGGGACCTTCTTTTATAATGCTCACCCGAGGACGTGCTTCCTGATTTTAGAGAGAGAAGAAGGGAGAGAGGAGCGGAGAAGGAAAGAGGGAGATGGAGAAGAGATGCAGAGGGAGAGAAGCGTCGATGTGAGGGAGAAACATTGATCAGTTGCCTCTGGTAAGCACCCACTGGGCGCCAACCCACCACCTGGGTGCGTGCCCTGCCCTGACTGGGAGGGAACCCGCACCCTGCTGGTGTGTGGGAGGCTGAGCCACCCTGCCAGGCCCCCAGTCACCTTTTCACAGCCTCATTTGGGGTCCTGAGAAACTCTGGGGTCAGCCCCAGGAAGGCGGACTCTAATTTTCTGTGAGTAGGTGAGCCCCTCACCACCACCTCCCAGCTTAATCTTTCTCTTTGAAATTATGAGGTTGTATTAGGGGATGATCTCTAAGTTCTTCACCTGCTTCATGTTCCCGTGATTCTGTGACACATGACGACAGAAAGCAACTCAGAAGTGACAGCAGAGGGCGGGAGGAGGGAACGTGCCTTGGGGGCTCAGGCGAGGGTGACACCCTCCTCCTGGGTACATGGGCCCCTCGGAATGGTAACTGGAGCTTGACGGCAGGGACTTCTCTGTGGATGGAAGGGCATGAGCGGTGCATTTGTAAGGAAAGGGCCTAAAATCAAGGCTGTTTTGGAAAGAGCATGCTGAGAAAGCAACTGTAAGAATTCTAGTCCAGGGGGTCTGAAAATCTGCACTATGTTCTCTAACAAGACACCCCTCCCACCCTCTACCTACGCCCTGGCCCTCAATCTCCCAGCAGGGCCAGAGGGGCAGCACCCCACAAGCTCACCCTCCCCTCCTTCCTCTCCCACAGGTGCCTGTGGGCGGGCAGGTGCATGGACAGCCCCAGCAACGCCACCATGCCCCGAGGCTTCCTCCTTCAGGGCTTCTCTGAGTTCCCGCACCTGAGGCCTGTGCTCTTCCTACTGCTGCTGGCCGTGCACCTGGCCACCCTGAGTGGGAACCTGCTCATCCTGGCGGCCGTGGCCTCTGTGCCCACCCGGCCGCCCATGCTGCTGTTCTTATGCCAGCTGTCAGCCATCGAGCTCTGCTACACTCTGGTGGTGGTGCCCCGCTCCCTGGCTGACCTGGCCACCCCCAGCCAGGGCAGGGGCAGCCCCATCTCCTTCCTGGGCTGTGCTGTGCAGATGCAGATGTTCGTGGCACTGGGCGGGGCCGAGTGCTTCCTGCTGGCCGCCATGGCCTATGACCGCTATGTGGCCATCTGCCACCCACTGAGCTATGCAGCTGTGGTAACACCTGGGCTGTGCATGCGACTGGCCCTGGCCTGCTGTCTTGGGGGGCTGGCAGTGTCCGTGGGGCTCACAGTGGCGGTCTTCCACCTTCCTTTCTGTGGCTCCCACTTGCTGGTGCATTTCTTCTGTGACATCACAGCGCTGCTGCATCTGGCCTGCACACGGAGTTATGTGGATGAGCTGCCTCTGCTGGGTGCATGCCTGGTGCTGCTGCTGCTGCCCTCCACACTCATCCTGGCCTCCTATGTTGCCATCGTCACTGCCCTGCGCCGCCTGCACTCCTCCACGGGCAGGCGCAAGGCCGCCTCCACCTGTGTCTCACACCTGGCCGTCACCTTCCTGCACTATGGCTGTGCCACCTTCATGTACGTGCGGCCCAAGTCCAGCTACTGCCCGCGGCAGGACCGCACGCTGGCGCTCATCTACACCAACGTCACCCCGCTGCTCTACCCGCTCATCTACAGCCTGCGCAACCGGGAGATCACCGCTGCCATCCGCAGGGTGCTGGGGTGGTGGCGGCCGGGCCAGGTGCCGGCGCGGACTGCGCATGAACCCTGAGTGCAGACGGGGCTAGGCCAGAGTGGACAGGTCTGCTCTGTCAGGTTCTGTGCACCAGGAGGTGTCAGCATCAGCAATGCCACCAGGGGGGACTCAAGGACCGCATTCAGGAAAGAGAACCTGGAAACATGTCCACAGAAGGAGAGCCTCCCAGCATCCTCCACTGTCCCAGGAGGAACAGCCAAAGACAGCGCCGCACAGACCCGAATCCTGCCTCTGGTGCCTCCACGAGCACCTGCTGAGTCCTTCCCACGCCCTGGTGGGCTTGCAGTGATGCACGGAGCCCACCGCGTGGCCGCAGGGAGCTCGCAGGCAGGACAAGCACGGATGTTCAAACATGCTCATGTCAGCACTGTGGGACTCAGCAAAAGGTTACAAATTGTTCACATACCGACGTGGGGCCGACTAATACACTGTGGCTCATCCGCATAATGGAATCCTGTGCAGCGGCCAAAGAGAAGGAGAAGGAAGAGGCGGAGGAGGTGGACACATCTCATCAGACATGGAAGCACCTCTCACACGTGGGAAATGAAAAAGCGAGGTGCGTAACAGGTGCTTAACAGTTCATGTTAAGGCGTCATCCTCGACTCTGGCCTTGTCCTTGCTGTGTCCGCTCCCGGAGGGCTCCTCCCTCGCACCTTCCACGGGCTGGCCCCTGTCACTCGGATGCCACCTGAACTTAAAGACTGACCCTGCACAGAAGAGGCCTGCACGGGTCGCCCCATACACCATCACCTCTCTGCCTGCTTCCTCAGCACCACGCTTTAACTCTCAGGCATCTCCCATCATTGGGAATCATCTGACACTCTCTGCCATGTTTCAGTTGCCTGCTCCGCCCACAGGGTATGAACCCTGTGAAGTTCATCTACTTCGTTCCCTACTTCGCATGCACCGCCTGCTCAGGGGCGAGTGAAACAGTGAGTAACTCAGTGTTGCGGTGCGATAGCATTTACACATATGAACACACAGAATGCAGTGTGTGTGCGTGCCGTGTGCGCTCATACCTGTCCTGCATGATTTACACACACACGTGACCACATTCAGAGTCTAAGGAACTGAGGGACAGAGGCGGGACAGACCTTTACTTTCATTGAGTACTTTCTTTATACACATGTATGTGTTATTCAATAAATACTTACAAAATAAACATAAAAGTTAAGCAGAGGAAGAGGAGTTGTTGTTTTTTTAAAGAGCCATCAGAAAAATCGGAGAAAAGCCAAGATAACATGGGGTCATGCAAACCAAGGAAAGGAAGGAGTGACCGGCAGCGCCCAGGATACTGCCATTTCTAGAATGCTGCGATGCTGGGGGCAGAGATGGCGTGAGAGAGGCCACACCCAGCCTGAACAGCACCAGACACACCTGTGCCGACCTCGGCCAACCACGGGCAACGCTCTGGCAGCCAAACAGCAGGCTGTTTACAATACTATCTATTGTAAATAGCAAGCTGGTTTTCCAACTAAAAATTGTTATTAAATTAATCCTCTACATGGCAAAAATATATATTATAAAGTTATTATAAACTTTTAACATAACTTAAAGCAGTAAAATACCCCGATGCCTAATAAACAGTGAAAAGAACCCAATAAACAAAAAAAACACACACATATGGATCATAAAAATGTAACTTGATATACGAACTTGACTTTTAAAGGTCTATCCTAGTTTTAATAATATTTAATAAACATTTTTCATGATTTTTGTAGATTTCTAGAGTAAATATTTAGACAACCCAAACAACTTAAAATCCTTTTTCAAGGAAGTTTGAAATAGATGATCCTTTTCTCTGAATAAACATCTGTTTTACAAGCAGAAGCCTTCAAAACCATCCCACCGACCTCACTGCTACCTCAGGATGGTAGAGTAAGATTTTAAATACATATCTCACTGTTGTGCTACTAGTAATGATTATAGTGCTTTTCCCACCCCAATTTTTTAGAGTGAACCCACTCCACGCCCTGGAGTCAGACCCCTTGGAAACACTTGATGTTTAACAGGTCCTAACCCAGCCTCGATTTCCTCCTTCCTCAAATGAGACAGCGCCCGTGAAATTCCCTGGAAGTAAATGAGCACAATACAAATGTAAAGATTCTTTCCTCTCTCAGGAACCCGCATCTAGAAAGATCAGAGCTGGAGGGTCATCTTCCCTATGGGGGAGCTGGGGGCATCTTTGGGTTTTTTCCAGCGGACTGGGAGACGGGCCGAGAGAGGGAGGAAGTGGGCAGCAGTTCCTGGGGCAGCAGCCCGCCCTCCAGCGCTGTCTCCTCGGGACACCTGCAGTCAGTTCAGTATCACCGGGGACACAGGCAGGATGGGGAGGGCCCCGGGGCCTCCGAGTACAGCTTCTGGACCATGTTTGCTCTCGGCCGGGCATTCCCAGCCCCCAGCTCTCGTTCCTCTTTGGCCTCCCTCTGGCTGCTGCGTCCCCACACCAACCACCCACCACAGTGGCCAGAAGGTTTCCCTGGCTGGACTGTATCCTCTGCCTCTGATGGTGCCCTGCTGCCCTCTGCAGCCCCACTGGCCGGGAGCTTCAAGTTTTCTGCACATGATACAAAACTTGAGGAATAACTCCAACCAGAAGAACTTCTAACAGGGTATTTCCAAACATGTCTCACAAAATCCCAAGGGGCATAAAGCACTTTGGGTTTGACGCAGTGAACTGTTGAATCAGCTTGTATTTTGCAAAAGAGAAAATAGGAAAATGTTGAGTTTACGAAGCTCAGTGGGATAGAAGTAAATGTGGGAGGGGCAGAGTAGCTCTATTTGCAGCACTGGTTTGGCTAGCATCTCTTCTGCAGTGTGGAAAGGATTTCAAACATAAAAATCCCTAGAGTTAAGCGCTTTACACGGATGGTCTCATTTCATCCTCACAAAGGCCAATGAGACAGATATTCTAATTCTCCCCATTTCCCACCTGGAGAAACTAAGGCAGTAGAGACTTGAACTTGCCCAGTGTCATACATGTGCAGGGTGGGGGCCGAGATTCAGAGGCGGGCGTCCAGAGTGTGGAACCTACACCCTGAGCCACCAGGCTCGGCTGCCCCGAGCCACACACAGTGTGCGGAGTACATGAAACAGCCTCTTCTGCTACGCATGGAGTACCTGGCGCTGGACGAGATTTGAAAGTCCTGGGAAAAGGTCACAGCCAGGATGGAATGTCCAGGCACCAGGCGACCAGATCTCAAATCTATCATGTTCTGGGCGCTAAGGGGAAGCGGCTCATAGAACACCAAATTCTCAGGGTACAAGCAGAAGATAACTGTGTTCCTTCTGACCCCCACACCCTCAGACCTGCTCTGTGGGGACAGCTCCTGCCTCTCCCTCCGTCTGAATCCATAATGTGTAGCACAATGTCCTGGTTCCCATGGGAAATAGAAAAAGTTTCCAGTCACTTTTGGTTGTTTCAGTATTAAAAGCAGCCAGTCCGATGTAAAATCAAAATCTGGAGCTTCAGGATAAGTTGAAGCTTTTTCAGTATAAGTTGACTTTTTCATCATTCCTTGCGCACAGAGGTAAGGCAGGACAAACACCAAAGAACACCAACTCCCTCCTAAAAAGTCTTCTTCTTCCCCACTCTCTTCCCTGCCCTCCTCATTTTCAACCCTTTTATACAGGCTGGGGGACAGGACGAGAGGCAATAACTGGTTTTAGAAACCCTCTCTGAAGACTCTGCAAGATACAATAAATGAGCACTTCACTTTGGAAGGTGTGGGTGTAAGGCATCAACCTGATGGCTCTCACACAGAGACAGAACGGAGACAGAATCCATTCCAGTATCTTGTGTCCAGCTGCAGAGCCTCTGGAGAAACAGAAGGGGGTGTGACTGGGGGGTGAAGTTCTCCTGGCACCCAGTGACAGACATAGTGACACTCAGCTACTTAGCTGTCATGACCTAGAATGCCCCTGGGACCTGGACGGTCAGCAGTCCTTAGGCTGCTGTGAATGCTGTCCTAAGACAGCCCAGCCCACGGCCAGGGAGTCAAGGGGCTCGGGCATGGATAGTCCCACGCTCACCAGAAGAGAGGCCCCTCTACCCCGGGCTGGAAAGAGGCGTCCCCCACCGTGGAACTCAAGGCTGGCAGAGGAATCGCCCGTTTCGAGGAAAGGCAGCTCACCGGCACCATACACGGGGACAGCTGATGACCAGGCACTTTGGAAAAGAGTCTGCAAGCTGAGAGACAGAGGTGGAGAGGGAGGGGGAGGTGAGATGCACAGGGACAAGGCGAGAAAGGGAGAAGAAAGCGGGATCACGTAATGCCGGGGGAGCAGGGGGCATGGGTTAAGAGATTAGAAGCTGCATTGGCATCTCACTGCTGCTGTAACAAATCACCACAGATTTAGTGGCTGAAAACAATGCCCATTTATTCTCAGACAGTCCTGGAGGTCAGAAGTCCAATGCAGTCCTACTGGGCCCAGGTCAAGGTGTTGGCTTCAGAGGAGAACCCTTTTCCTTGCCTTCCCCTTTTACGGGCCACCAGCTGTCCTTGGCTTGTGGCCCCATCACTCCAAACTCTTGCTGCGGTCACCACACCTCCTTTTTCTGGCTCTGGTCTTCCCTACCCTCCCCCCCAACATGGATCCATACGGCCACATTGGGCTTCCCTGGGTCATCCATGATAATATCCCACCTCAAAGTCCTTCATGTGATCACATGTGCAAAGCCCCTGTTGTCACACAAGGTAAAATTCTCAGATTCCAGGGCTCAGGGTGTGGACTCATGGGGGTGGGGCACGAGTCAGCCTACCACAGAGCCAAAATGTTAGGGCCAAATTGAGGCAAATGTGGAGGCCTGCAGGTGAGCAAGAACATCCTAGAGAAAAGAGCAAGTCAGCTTCCTTCTCTAAAGGACAAGGAGCCAATTTTATCTTCTAAGAGTAGCAGGAAACACCTGGCCAGAACTCCTTCACTCTGCCTTTTGGGATATTAAGAAACATCATTTTGCTTAATTGCAGCAGGGAAGAGAGACTGCTTCCCTCCTGCTCACCTCTGTAGAGAAT